AAAGCTTCGTTTGTTTGTCTCCCTTTCTCTCTTACAACACTGCTACCTTCATTGACATTATTTTCATGTCTGTTACTCAGAAACATATTTAAAACAGTTACAGACTGCAGATTGCCACTTTGTTGGTTTCTATTATTTTTGTTACATTTATGGCTCATACCCTGTAAGAAGTTGATTCTGCAACTAAATCTACTACGGTTTCTGTCACTATTTAATACTTATATCTCTTAAGAAGCCGATATTGCCAACATACGATTCCTGATCTAATCTATTTGTGACGGACTGAACCGTCACTGGGGCTGCTGGAGGAGCCTGAGGGCTAGCCTCCTTCCTACGGACTATGGACCAGAACTATGGAGACCCCCCTCAGACCTCTTGGGGTTACATGGAACAATTCTACTAGGATGCATGTGGAGTGGATATACTGTAATGTATCCCCCGACATTACAGACACACATCAATGTGTTCATTATAGGCAGCAGGCTGTCTGGAGTGAAAATTGTTTGCCATGATGAGATTAAGTTCCTTTCTAATCAAGGACATTCATCCCAAAGAGTGTCTGTGCCTAAAAGACTTCTAATGCGGCACCTAGCTGTCTGGGGGAGGGGACACACTGCACTCTAATCTGATCCTGTCAGGTATAAACTCTGTGTGCTTCCTTCAATAAAGCAGATCTTGTTTTCCACTTCAACATTGGTGTTGTCTAATGCTTGAGTGGTTAGCGTTCTGTCCTAATATATTGGTTCCGTCCAATAATTAGGCCGGTTTGGGCTGAGGACACTGGGATTCGGGTTCCAGCGGAGAGGAAGCTGTTTTCTGACGGAGGTACCCAGTCGGGGTACCAGGCAGTCCGTCACACTATTGACCTACAACTATATTTGTCCACTTTCACATATTGTTTTTACCACAGTATTTCTCCTATATATTTGCATTGATTTCTTTATCACTTATTTTTTACTTATTAGGATGTATCTCTATCACCCGATCTGTATAACATTGCGGTTTTAGATGTACCAAATGCACAGCTCTATATTAGTTGTCATCTAGCTGCTATATAAGGTCGTTACGATCACTTTCGCTATTTCTCATTTTCTTTGTTACAATTGTTTCATACTATATTATCTTTGATATTTTTTTATGTATTCACACACCTATTTCCTCTTTATACACGTTATTAACAATTATCGTTCCTTAGGGCTGCGTGAAGACGCAGTTCTTCTCACAAACCACTCACTTGAGAACACTTAATCCACCAAAATAAGAACCTATACAACCACTGATTATTTAACCATATAGGTTGGTCAACCTTTAGCGCGGTGTTTCTACTTTTTATCTAATAATAAGAAATATACAGTTAGTATAGAAAACATTATATTTACTATTTTGGCCTAGTTTTTCTTTGATTAAATAAATTAGGACACATCCGTTAACGTTTGCCACAAAAATAAAAAAGTCCAATCTGTCCTAAAAAGACGAGGAATGATTCCCCCGGATTGACCAAGGGCTTGATTTATATACCTTTCTACTGTTTACTGTTCAAAGCCCATTTCGTGTGCACCTTACTGTATAGCTGGTGACAAATTGTTGAGTGCGTTTGTCATTTGTTTTGCTTAGATGTATATACCGTTCGCACAGCAATGCATGGCCACTAGATGGAGCCCGTGCTGTTCAGCCTATAGCTCCTCGGCTCCATCTAGTGGCCATACAGTGCAGCAAAAATAGCCCCAAACATCTGTGCGGTTTTACGAACACATGCCAAAATCGCCGTTGGACGTTAAGGGTTTGGCTCTCTGTGCGTTTCACTTCCAGCCTACTATTGCGAAAGGGATTTTGTACCTAACTATGGAATTCATTGATTTTAGGCATTCAGTTTTATTATATGTTAGCATTCAATAGTCATTATTTTTTACATTTGATTTATTTATGACAGGCATTTATATAGCGCCGCCAATTTACGCAGCACTTTACATAGTTGCACATCCACATCGTTCTTATCTGGCATGAGTTCATGTTTTAGTTACATTTCAGCAATGGCTCCGGGATTCCAGCGCTGCCGATATTTATTTTCCTTAGGAATTCACCAAATCTTCATTGTAACAATGATTTCCTTATGCTTTGTATTGAGACTTCTATGAAGGGATTCCTTGTAAGCACTTTATTCTTTATTGTGTCCCGTATCCTACGGAGTTCAGATATATTTGTGTCTTGTGTATTTTTTTTTATGTTCTCTAGTTGTTGTTTTTTGTATTTATATCGTTACATAGTTGGTAACTTTTAATGAAGACACAGGTCCATCCAGTTAAATGTGTGTGTGTGTATGTATGTATTGTACAGGACGCCAGGAATGGGTCCTGGGTGGACGCTATATCCCTCCCTTGTTTGGGTGGTGGTCCCGTTAAGGTCACCTGGTATTCAGGGTTCTCGCCAAGCAGGGTGAGGGGGTTCCGGGTCGGACTTGTAATGGAAACTGCTAGGCGGTCTTCCCAGAGTTGTAAAATATACATGGGGCCCCGAAATCCAGAGCCTCAGAGAAATTTTGGGTGGGACAGAGTCTCCATCCCTGACTACAGCCAGTCCTGGTAATGAAAGGGTTAACTCACCAGCTAGAGGGTGTGTTAAAAAGGAACAGGAAGTCAGTCGGTGTAGCAGGACACATGGCTGTGTGTTAATCTGTGGAATACAGTCTACCAAGACACTGCTGGGGCACCTGTGTCCATACTGGAACCCTGTGAGCAGAATTGGACTCTAACCCTGAGGATGGGACTCTAACCCTGACATGGGACTTGGTATACAGGTGCTGAGCCGAATCTTGTCTTTGCCGGCAATAAGCCATTTTATTTAATTGTTTGTGAAAAATAAAAGTGTATTTGCTGATACGGCCGGCTACGGGTCACATCCGACCTGAATATTACAGTATGTAGCAGTGTGTACACACAGGGCTGGATTTCCAACAAGGCCAACCGAGGCCTGGCCTTGGCGCAGCAGGGGTGTGGAACTGATATCTCCCGATGTCCGTGACATGCTTTTCTGGGCACCGGGCGGGTAATTGTTTTCTACATTTGTCCCTACTTTGGGCAAGCCTAGCTCAATGTACAGCGGGGGAAGCCGGCGCTTGTCGCTGAGGTCACAGCCTGCATACAGGGGGGCGCATTGAGGAACCTGGCATTGGGGCAGCAGAGAGAGTAAAACCGGCCCTGGGTACACATCACATGTCGCTAACATCTCATATATCCCTGTATATTTTGTAAACTGAGAAACTCAAGTGCATGAGGAAGGTATCAGTATTCATGTCTATGATTGTAATGTCTTCCTTATATTGTAAATAATAATAGTTATCAATGTTTTAACTGTTCCACATTTTTACTGCTCTGACACTGCAAAAACCACTTCTGCAATCTGGGATGAAACTGTTCTCATCCAACTTCTTGTTGTGTCTTATTTAAAGCATCTATTTGCAATTGCCTTTGTTTTTCATCATGTAATCTATGTATGTATATACAGGTGAAACTCAATCAATGCACCCTTACCAGCCCCACCAATTCGGCATCCACCACAGCACGTCGCACCCATGCACTCACACACCCATGCATACCCACACACATCCGCGCACCACCCAGAAACATGGCACCCACAACCACATTCCCCATATGTGTATCCCTCCACCAGCCTGGCACATAGCTCCAGCACCTACACACAGCAATCAGCAGACTATCCCGTGCAGGTTGAGGAGCACTTGGCGCGTCAAAATTTATAATTTAGTACGTTAAACGTTTTCGTTTTCTCCTCCTACCCATTTCAGCAGGAAAGTTTACGTATAAGTTTATGTTATTTTTATATAGTAAATGTTAACTAAAATTTAACAAAGAGTTTGTGTGGTTTTTTGTGGGTTCAAAGGTGAAGGTTATTAAAATATTGTTAGGATTTTATTCTATAAAAGGTTGGGTTAAACATATGCAGGAGGGTCACACATGCCATACGTCAACATGCATATGACAAAGACACCTAGAACAGCAGACCTAGAACGCACAGGACACTACAGCAAGAGGCACAACACACAGAGCATAATTATAATATACAATTTCATATATAACTCTTGTAAACAGGTTATGGAGGGTGTTAATGACAGTACTGTCACAGATCAGATTTATGCTTCTTTTCATTGGGCTTTAATTCTACAAAAGGAGTGATGTAGTGAACTTACCGCAAGGTAATAACTAATCTTTCGGGGGGTGGAATGCTGTCACGCATGAAGGTGTCCTGACGCTCCAACCGGACCGACAGCAATCCCAGTAGCTCATCAAAACTGTAATTATATATATATATAATGTTTGTGGTCAATACTAGCAATTAGACAGAACAACAATAATCACTAAAACAATTGTTTCTGTACTAACCTATTTTTGGACATGCGGGTATAGCTGAAAAACTTCTCATGTTCACGTAGCTTCTCATACATGGCCAAAAACTGGCCTCTTTCGTCACGGTTCGCTATGACCGGATGAACCCAGAAGCGTCGCATACTCTCTCTCCTTCTCCTCAATTGCATCAAGCGCACTGCTGCAACAACTGCTGCAGTCCGTCTTCGTGTAGCCAACTAGTAATCAATCACAGCTCATCTCAAGGAAATGTTACACCAGTGGTTTCTAGGGCCAGGAATAACATTTGTCAAGTTGTGGTGACCCCAACCGTAAAATTTAGGGATGATGCGGATGCCGCAGCGACATCTGGAGGTGTGGCGAGAGAACTGACACTGCTGCGCTAGGAGAGGGCTGAGGAGGACTCACCTAGCACAGCAGAAATCACACAGCGACCCCACAGGTTGAGAACCGCTGGCGAATATTATCTAATAGCGGGCGACCCCTGGCAAATCGTCACTCGACCCCCGACAGGGTCACGACCCACAGGTTGAGAACCGCTGTGTTACGCCAATGCACCAGGACCCGTCATACATTTAAACATTAACAAAAAACACAATGCAACAAATGATTTTATTTTTAGCTTCAATGTATTTTATTGGCATAATATTGTTTCAATTCACTCGCTGACGCCCGGAAAGCTTGACGAATGTCCTCATTCCTAAAAGTGTAAATAATGGGATTTAACATGGGGAGCACCAAATAGTATATGAAGGAGAGCGCGTTATAGTCAGTCATGCTCATCGGCACCAGATAGGAAATAAACGGTATCCCGAAATACAAAGACACCACCAGGAGGTGTGAGCTGCAGGTGGAGAAGGCCTTCCGTCTCCCGGCAGACGACTTGATCCTGAGGATGGCGATGATGATGAGTATGTAGGACAGGAGAATCAACAGGAAAGTCACGTTGAGAGTGTAGCTGACCACCCAGCTGTACGTTATCAGGGCCCGCGCGTCGGACATCACACACACGGCAATACTGTAAGCAGTGTATTCACAGAAGAAGTAATCGAGCCTAACGCGACCGCAATATTCCAGGCTGACTAAGAAATAGATAAGTACGGACACAAGGAGGACTGCGATCATCCAGAAGACGATGATTACATACAGGCAGAGTCTAATGTGCATGAGGGAAGAATACCTCAACGGGTGACAGATCGCCAAATACCAGTCGTACGACGACATCAGCATGAGCAGGAAAGTCTGGAAGATCAAGACGGCGATCACGACGTTGATCTGCGCCAGACAGCCGACGAAGGAGATGACCCCTGTTCCCGACAGGATGTTGTACAACGCGGACGGGTCCATGTTGGTGGTGTTGATAAATTCGCAGAGGAGTAGATTGCTGATCAGGAAGTACATGGGGGAGTGGAGGCGCGGGCTTTTCCATACCAGAGAGATGATCAGGACGTTCTCCACGCAGGTGGCAATATAGATGACCAATAAAAGGACGAAGAGCGGAATCCTATACTCATTGAAGTCTTCAAACCCAACCACCAGGACTTCCGTAATAAACGTTTGATTTCTTTGGCGTATCACCTGTGGGGGGGAATAAGATTTTGTTGAAATACCACCAGAGGATGTAGGCGTGCGCACACACACTGCTACAGTATTTCTAAGAGGTCCACTCATAAGCTGGCCATACACCTTACAATTATCTGCAGATTGTCTGTGGTCAGATGGAAAAGGTGCAACAGATTCCTCCATCTACACTCAACTGTGTGGATGGAGGAATCTCCCTACTGGTCCAAGCTTCAGTATCTTGCTGTTCGGCCCCCGCTGGCTCTCCAAACAACTGAACAGTGCCGGCATCCAATCAGATTGTTCAGGTGTTTTGAGAGCCAGCGGGCCCGACTAGCAAGGCACTGAAGCTTGGCCCAGTGGGAGATTCCTCCATCCACACAGCTTAGCGTAGATGGGAGGAGTCTGTTGCACTTTTTCCATCTGTAAGGTGTATGGGCACCTTTAGAAATCTAACAGTATAGATTTATTTACACATATGTGGAGCTTTTCAAATGCTTGTACACACAATCTGTAAAGAATAAGACAACTGCACCGGCTGTATTTTTCTTGAAGACGTTTCATTGGTCATCCGACCAGCTTTCTCAATTCAGAATGACTTGTACAAAAAAAAAATATCTGGGAATAAATATGGTGAATGTCGCTCCAATCCACATACTAAGTTAATCGCAACCAGGTGTTGATTGCATTTGCATAATTGGAAATCTAAATAACTCGTGGATCGCCTCTACCTACGCCTCTTACATTAACCTCTAAACCAGTGGTGGCGAACCTTGGCACTCCAGCTGTTTTGGCACTCCAGCTGTTTTGGAACTAGAAGTCCCATGAGGTATTGCAAGGCTCCCAACAGCCACAGCCATAACTCCCAGAGGCAGATGCATGTTGGGATTTATAGTTTTGGCACAGCTGGAGTGCAGAAATTCGCCACCACTGCTCTAAACCTAATGTGTATAGTACATGAAAAATAGGTAATAAAGGGTTTTGTAGAGGAGGTATCAAACCATGCATAAATAAAATATATCAAAATGTATTGTTCTGTCTGCCCCATACAATGCTGTTAACACCTCTCTCGGGGCAGGTTATTAAACACTAGTTATGGGCTCAGGCGTGTTCGCAAGCGCCTCGTGCCGAGACATGTTCCCGATCAGTGCTTGCGATTGGCCCTGCGCGCTGACGGCTTCCCGGCGGGCTCGGCACGGGGCACTTGCGAACACGCCCGAGCCCATCACTAATTAACACCTCCTAGACTCCCAATTATGGAAATGCAATCAACACCTGGTTGTGACTAACAAATTATAGCTACACAGTATTTGAGGTTGAATAAAGACACAGGTCCATCAAGTCCAACAACCTATAGCGTGCATTCATGTGACTCTGGATGGGTACAAAGTCCCTGTGATCTTGTTCTTAAGGTTACCTGTACCCCATGTATGTTACAGTCTCCGAGGAAGGTATCTAAATGCTTTTTGAATGATTCTACACTCTCAACTGATACCATTGCTTGTGACAGCGAGTTCCAGACCCTAACCGCTCTAACTAAGAAGCCCCTACGCCCTTTGTCCTTTTTATGTGGATTGGAGCAACATTCACCATATTTATCCCCAGAGAATTCTTGTACGAGTCTGGAGAAAGCTGATTGGATGACCATTCAAGCAAAAAACAGCAAGTCCAGTTGTCTTGACCTATTTTTTTGACAGATATACCATGTGACCTGGATAAATGAGAACCTTCACAGACACTTGTAGACAAACAATGTATACCTTTAGTTCGTTTGGGCCAAGCTGGCCCAAAACAAACATCCCTAATCTGTCAGCCAAACGGCAAGAGGTTAATAGAATGCATCGCTCGCCGTGATTGGCTCAGCGCGGTATATTGTATGTAGCCGAAGCTTCCGTACATACAGTATTATTGCACATCCATCCATGATGTTTTTAAATGGTGTTGCCTCGGAATAGGGTAGTCTTATGTGACGAGTATAGCCCAAAACCTATGTTTTAAGTGGGAAAAATAGGGGGTCATCATACACCCAGACGCCGGCAAATACGGTAAATGAAAGAACACAGCAATCCCTAAGAAGATTGGAATGCATGTTATACATGGAGATGAGAAAATCACTGGCGCCAAAAGAAAACCCGTGACAACTCTCGAACCCAGCTTCAAACACACAGGGGCAAAAGGAGCGCTTCCATATTGTAAAACAGAATAAATAAAAGGTAAAATACAGCTGGAAATGTTCTTACAAACGACTTGTAAAAAACGAGCATTGAATAAAAACGGTCTCAAGTGGATCCAAGAAGGACAAAACGAAAGAACGAAGTGCAGAAATCTTTTGATTGGCTGTTCATTTTATCTTATCTGTGGCTAAAGTTTTTACTACGTTTTAACCATTTTATGAATTGTAAATCGATTTCATTTTCATGTCAATGAGGTGACAGCCAATTAATGGTTGAGTCTCCCAGCAGTAAAAGAGACTCAATCACCTGTGCAGCCCCAAGAAGGTTGTTGGGGGGAACCCCCTTAAGAATGCAATGACACATATGCGGCACCACAGAGGTGGGTTTTCTTCCATGATGCCGCATATATGAGGCATGTCTTTGTGCCCCCAACATGGAGACAGAGTTCTCACCCACATCTTCTTTCTAGGACTAATGGCCGAAAAATGTACATATGTGGTATCCCCATGCACATCAGGAGTAGGGGAATTCAGTTTTGGTGGTGGGCCATGGTATTGGCAAAAAATATACAGCTAAAATTTAAAAAATAAAAAGTTAATGATAATAATATTAAGAGATATCCATTACCATCCACCACCAAGTGAAGATAGTTCCTTTGTCAAAAAAACAAGGTCGAATTTACTTGAATGCACAATGTAGCTGCAAAGATATATACAGGTCTACGCACACGCCTAAAGTTGCAAAACTGACTCCAGAAACCTAATTTTATTTTTAATTTTAATATGAAAGTTACTTTTATTAACTAACACAATAATAATAAATAGTGACGACATGGTGATGCGTTAAATGTGTATTGGTGTTGGGTTATGTTTAAGTGTGTTATGCTGTGTGACCTGGTTATGAAAAGTCTGTCAGCACCAGCCCTCGATTTTGCAAAATATTGTCAAAAAATATTGTCATCTTTTTACGTGTCTTTAGGTCTATGGATGGAAAATAAAATAAAAAAAACAATACAGACAAAAAAAACTAAATAGTCTACATTTTTGCAAAACCATGTCGCCAATAAAAAGATGAATATATTTTTGTGCAAACAATATTACCAAAAGAAAGCTGAATTTCCCCCAAAACAAATTTGTGTAGGTATTGATATTAAAATTATTTTTGCGATACAATCTTGGCAAAAAAAGTAATTTTTACTTTTTGTTTATACAACATTATTATATATTATACAACAATATTATTATATATTATATCAAAAGAAAGCTGCATTTCCCCCCCAAAAAAATTATGTGTTGATGTTAAAATTATTTTTGTGACACAATATTGGCAAATAAAATATTTTTACCTCTTTTTCCCTATACATAAAAAACTAAATGCCGAAAGCCAAATAGATTTTGCAAAATATTGTCAAAAAATGTATTGTCTTGTTACGTCTTTTTGTCAGGCTGCACATACTAAGGGTAAGGTAACCTTACCTCACGAGGCCAGCTTCCCGACCAATCAAGAAGCCGGGCAGGGCGTCATTACACAAGTGACGAGGGAGCATGGAGCCGCTTCCCGGCCAATCGGGAAACCGGGCAGCTCGTAATGACGCGCTGCCCGGCTTCCTGATACCGGAAGTACTCAGGCTAGGCATCGGAGCATTTGGCCGAGTACCAGTACTCCCCCAAATACTCGGAATCGGCACTGATATTGATACTAGTATCGGTGAATCCCTAATTCTAACATTTGCTTCTTTACTAATTGCCCGAGTTCCATGATGGTTATGTAGCACCCTGCCAACAGGAGTGCTATAAAATGTAGTTGTTCCTAGACTGCACTTAGTCTGAGATGTATTTGTAGTCTATGTTCATTTCAATTTCTGCCATGGATAGTTTAGCATATCGGCCACCCTGCGACATACCATGATCTGCTAATGTTTCTAACAAGTGAATCCTGGTATATTCCAGAGCTCCATTGATCACCATTGCACATCATGCCACATGCAAGTCCACACCTGTGTATTAGCAATGAACAGCATACATGAAATAACCGCATACAAATCCATTAGTACACTCAGGCCAACTGATGGCGCAGGTTTTTGTAACACCTACCGTGAGCTAGAGACGAGCCGATTGGGCCTCCGGATGTGAGGAGAAACCATCAGGGTGTCTGTGTTCTGCTGTGATGATTACAAGGAGATGATATGAGTGATACATGGATGATGCTAGTTTGATCATATCAGTAACATGCTCATGTCATACATACACTGAAATGCGTGGCGATGAGATTTGCTCTCATGAGCGGGCAACGATCCAAGGGATCTCCATCCTCCTCAGGACACATCTCATCAGGTGTGGCAGATTCTGGGCCAATTATGGGTGCCTGGTGTTTTGAGAGCCACGTTGTGGAATACACAGCAGGCTACGATCAGATGCCTTCGGTGGGTGGTAGAGCAGATACCCACCAGACCTGTCCAGGCCGAGGAAGCAGCACTTAAAGACTCCAAATGTGCGCTCTATGACGGTTTTGGTGACCCTATGAGCATGATTTTAAGCATTTTCTGTAGCTGTCTGTGGATTGTTCAGTGGGGTCATCATCCATGGTAAACCTGTATGAAGGGGAGAGATGTGATCAGCTGGACATACAATTATGTGATTCTCCAACAGGGAACAATGAGATGGTTAACTTACCCGGCATCTGACCATTCTGGAAGTGAGTAGTGGGGCTCCTGCAACACCCTTGAATCATGGAAGGAGCCAGGGTTGGCGGCTTTAACGGTCAGAATCCGCTGTTTGTAATCACACACCATTTGGATATTCAATGAGTGATGATTCCTGTTTTTTTACTCCTCCTCCTGCGCTGATGGCCTCCTCAGTGCAACATGTGTGCAATCAATAGCACCAAGCACTTTGGGCATGCCAGACACCCTATAAAAGCCAGCTGTCGCCTCCCTCCAAGACTCAGGGGTTTGGGGGGAAATAGATTTAGCCCCTGGCAACAGAGCGTATGGCTCCAAGAACCCTTAGGAGGTACCTTGACATGGAGGGCTGGCTAACCCCTACCACTGAGCCAGTATCCCCCTGGAAGGTGTGGTTCCCCAAATGTTGCAACACAGCTAATAATTTGGCCTGGGACAGCATGGCTCCTTCCAGTGGCAGGCTCCAAATCCTAGCTTAAATGCTGGTAGATGTCCAAGATGGCAACTCTGGATAGCCTGAATCTTTGCAGGATCTGGACATCACTAAGTGTCCCAAGGACAGTCCTCTCCTGGAAAACCCTGGGGACTCGGCCCGGTGGTGGATTATCCTCAGCAGTTCCCCCCTGGGGACTCTGTGTCTACAATGGCAGTGTGCATCCAAGCAGCCTGCAGCAAGCATACTCTATGATAGCTCTCAACCTCTCTAGGGATCTCTTCAAACACCTCACAGGTTAGGGGGGTGGGGGCATCTTTTTATTGTGTGTGAATCATTGGGAAGTGATTGCATGTGTTTCACCATAGGTCTGATTGTTCCAGGTGACCATGTGATTATGTGTCCTTTAGTTGCTCTGTGTGGATTTGAGGTAGTGAATGGGATACTCCGGTTACTAGGGGCTTTTTCAAGCATGTTTGATCATTCTGGTTCTGGGTGAGCATGTGATAGTTTACGTGTGATCGTGTCTGGTGACATGTGCATTAGACATGCGCGATTCTGACGAAATTTCGGACATTTGGATGTATCCGAATTTCGAATTACAGATTTAACAAATGCAAATGAATCCGATTTTCCAAATAGCGGCAGTCTGGACGACATTTCGTTTATTGGACAAAATGTTATTGCAGCAAAATGACATTAGAAAAAAAAATATATTTTTTCTTTAGTCTGCAGAAGAAGGGAGAGGGGGTGGGGGGGGGAAAAAAAAGTGTGAGGGGTTCCCCCAAAATCCATAACAGGCCCTTTAGGTCTGTTAGGAATACTAGGGGGGAACGTGGTGCCCCCTCCCTAACATTCCTACCAGACCCTCGATCCGAGCACTGGCAGGGCAGGAAAGGGGGGGGGGACGATTAAGCGCCCCCTCTCCATGCGCCATACCAGGCCACGTGCCCTCGGCATTGGGGGGGGTGTCCCCATGCCGGTGTGGACAAGGGCCTCTTCCACACAACGCTGACCCGGTGGTTGTGGGGGTCTGCGGGCAAGGGGCTTATTTGCATTGGGGTATCCCTTTAATTAAGGGGCACCCAGATGCTGCCCCCCCTTCTGAATGAGTAAGGGGTACTTGTACCCCTACCCATTCACTAAAGGGTTAAATAAAATTAAAGTGTCCAGACTTTTGATAAAATCTTTTCATTGAAGAAAAAAAAAAAAAGAGCCAATTTTTGACTATTCCTTTAATAAAAAAAAAAAAATTGTTCCACCGATGTAATCCAGAGTCAATCAAGCATGGACAGGGACGTGACATTTAGTTCAAGGCACACTGGGTAACTCTGCTAGCAGCTGGGAGGGATCCAGGACGGGGCTCTGGAGCTTCTTCATCCATCACGCCTCCAGAAAGCTGCTGATATGAGGTCTGTCGGCTCCACCCCCTTCTCTTCGTCCTCCTCTGCAGATTTCTCTGGCAAAGCCGCAGTTCACCCGAGGCGTGCCAGGGGCTACGCAACGGCTCAAGCAAAAAGATGCCATGCTGTGCTTGAGCTGGTTTGTTTAGGAGACAGGAGCCACACGGGGGCAGAAATTCTGTCAGCTTTGCAGGGGCAGGCCCAGAGGTGGTTAACACCACGCCAGCTTGAGCCGGGAATGGTTGTCTGTGATAATGGCAGCAACCTTCTCTCTGCCCTACGCCTGGGAAAGTTGACGCATGTACCATGATTAGCACATGTCCTAAGTTTTCTAACCAGGTACTCAGGGCTGGCAGAGCTTCTTAGGCAGACCGGAAACGTCTGCAGCCACTTCAGACGGTCATACCCGGCAAATGTTTGGCTGGCCAAAAATCAAAGGGAATTCCACCTTCCCACAAACAGTCTGATCTGTGACATGCCCACCAGGTGGAACTCGACTTTGGCAATGCTGCGGCGTCTGCACAAGCAGCAGAGGGCCATCAATGAGTACCTGTGTGAGTATGGCACAAGGACAGGCTCAGGGAACCTTGGCTTCCACCCCGTCGGTGGCTGCTGATTAAGAATGCATGCACTCTACTGTCAACATTTGAGGAGGCGACGAGGGTGGTGAGCAGGGACAGTGCATGCATCAATGACACAATCCCTCTGGTGTTCCTGATGGAGCAGACTCTGCGGGGAATTATTGATGTGGCCCTAGAGGCGGTATTCCCGAGTGTGCCTCGGTGTTCATTTTCAGTACCATAAGCGGTAACCCCCGAGCCACACTCGGGATTACAGCGTAGCGTTACCTACCTTGTCCATCGAGACACTGGGTTCCCTCCTCCTAGCAGGACTCCTGGGGTCACTGGCACGAAGGGCGCACACGCCAGCAGGGGGCATGAGCTTACCGCGCCAGCGCCACTTAGTGCTTTCAGGTGCTAGCCAGGTTGCGGGAGATCCCCAGCACACACCATCTGCCCAGTCAGCCCTGCTATTGGCTCCTGGTTAGGGAAGCTTCCTGGTCGCCTCTGCAACCAGGGTGCGGTCCTTAGTTTCCCCGTGTATTTAAACCAGACAGAGCTTCGGCTGATTAAAAAGCTTCTTTGTTCTGTGTTTGCACGGCGCCATCCATGGTTGTCCCTACGAGCACCATCTTTCTTGTTGGCCGGGACTGCTGTGAGGTGTGCGGAGGGCTCCCCCATCGATCAACATGATTGTGGAGTTATTCTACCTCTATGGTGTGATCGCCCAGCTCCCTGTGTGTAAACCTGTTCCTGAACCCCCGTTATCGACCCTTCGGCTTACCTCTTCGCTGACTGCCTCGACCCGGACTTGGACCTGACTACGCTTTTGGATTTTCCTTCCGTACCTCGTTTTTGGACTCGTTGTCCCTGCCAAGGGGTTCCGCTCACGGCCCAGCCGTACAAACCCCGACAACAAGTTAATTATGAGAGAGAGAAAAAAGGGCCATCTAGTATTTTGGTTCACGAAAGCAACGATATCGTGCGTGAGAAGGAATGTGCCGATTTAGCCAAGTACAACAATGAAAACACAGCATGAAGGTAATCGTTGGATTTGTAGAAATGCCAGTGTGCAGCGATGCCACAGCTGAAAACATACTCCACTGCATTGCATCATCCATGCATGACGAAGGCCTTGAATGGTCTAATTGTGCCGGAATTAGCAGTGGCAACTGCATTGTGATGATTGGTACAAATCAAGCACGGGACCCTCATATTTACAGTGTTGGCTGTCCAAGTCACCTGGTCAACATTTGAGCCAAAACTGCGGCTTAGGAGCCCTGGACTACTGATGGCAATTTGTGATACAACGCTGCCACCTAGGAGGTGGGAAAGTGAAATGCATGGTAGTTCATTTTCATTAAAGTGAAAGGGGCGGCGCCCCCCAAGTGGGAGGCCAGTTTTCTCTCAATGAAATATAAGTAATGAGTGCGCAGCTGTCAATGTTTATACTGTTCTGATAAACAGTTTTTTGATTTATGAAAACAAGCAAGGATCTGCCTGCTTTCCAGCAACTCATCTGATGCTCGCCTCCAGGACTTCACTAGAGTCTCTCCCATCCTATGGAACTCTCTACCCCAACCTGTCCGTCTATCTCCGACACTGACTGCCTTTAGGCGATCCCTTAAGACTCATCTCTTCAGTGAAGCCGATCCCACCTCAACCTAACCACTCAACCATCCCCGCACAGCTCTCTCCTCATGTATCACTGGCCCCTCCCTTTTAGATTGCTCCACGGGCAGGGCCCTCCTTACCATCTTGTCTTTAATTGTATTGTGACTGTAATGTCTTCCTTATATTGTACAGCACTGCACAAACTATTGGCACTATACACTGAGTGGCCAGAATATTATGACCCCCCATCAGTACTTCGTTGGGCCGCCTCGTGACTCCACGAGATGGTGAAAGGTGATGCGAGGAATCTGACACTGCGCTGTGGCCCTTCTGTTGTCTTGTACCAGTCTTGCCCCTCCCCCGTGTGTATATAATAATCTGGCCACTCGGTGTATATAATAATCCGGCCACTCGGTGTACATAATAATCCAGCCACTCGGTGTATATAAGAATCCGGCCACTCGGTGTATATAATAATCCAGCCACTCGGTGTATATAAGAATCCGGCCACTCGGTGTATATAATAATCCGACCACTCGGTGTATATAATAATCCGGCCACTCAGTGTATAAAGCCTGTATAATAATAATAATTATTATTATTAAGGTGATTCCCAACTTATTTCCACAAAAAAA